CTCCTCGTGCGGTGTCCTCTCTCTGTGTGTGTGTGTGCGCGTGTACTCCAAACACAAACTCCATACCGTGCATGAGCTCACATGGCGTCAGCGTCCAAAAGCTATACCAAGGAGGTCAGGTGGTTCACATAACAAAGGGAACTGACACACACACACACACACACACACACACACAATGGGCCGCTTACATACATTTTGAGTTGAGTCAGGGACGCTGTGTACAAAGCTTAGTTTAAGGAAATGGGGGACTTTGGTTGCTGGTAAGAGTGAAGGGAAGAAAGACAGGAAGCTAAAGTGTTGCTTCTTTGTCAAACACTTGAGGTAGATTTTCTTTTAGATTTAGTGATTTCCCAAATTATCGACATTCATCTACATTTTATACCCTGTGTTTATGGACTAAGGACAGACTGATAAAGGAATTCCAAATTCATAATTGTATACATCTGTCAAATAACAACCTATAAATACCAGCAAACAGTCCATCTATAGCGTCCACATCGTGCTCAGCTGAATATTGGCCTCACAGTATTGTTCTCTTTTGTTTGTTACTGTGACTCACAATATCCTGCAGAATAATGAGGCAGATCAGCACACAACACAAGGCTTCATGTGTCTAAGTACAATTACTCAGACACAAACACACTCGCCGAGAGTTTCATGATAAAGGCCACACATTCAGAGATCGATCTGCTGGATGTCTGACTAGAAGACATAGAAAAGACGGCCATGAAGATTGGAACTGGGGCTTTTTATTTTTTATCAATTCATCTGCTGGATATTTTCTTCATCAAGTTGCTTCATTTTTTGGGTCTATAAAATGTCAGAAAGCACAAGGTGAGTGTAGATAAAAATGCCTTTATGGTCGTCGCCTTGGCGGTTTGTTGAGCTGCTCTCATTGGCTGCGCAGTTTCAACTCGTTCATAGCAGGAAACAATGGCGGCTGGTATTCCAGATAAACAGTAAATTGTTGAGAAGTCGGCTCATTTCTCCATAAGACTGCATGCTATTGTTTTCTTATTGCGGCCAATGGAGCTGCCTCCTGCTGGTCATTACATAGAATGCAGGTTGAATACAATCCGCGTTTGCTTTACTTTACGGACCCAGAAGCTCTGCCCATTATATATACTGTCAACGGTAAAAAAAAACGCGACAATTCTTAAATTCAGATGATTACACACTAATGAAAACTCCTATGAATATTAGAAATCCTCCTAATGTTACACACTGAAACTGTAGTTACTCTGACATTAAAACAAACCCTAACCCAACAAACTTTTTGGCCCCTTACTGCATGTTGTTTTTTAAGACTGTGAAACATTTCTCTTGAAGATGCTCCGACACTCAAAAACAAAATTAAAAGCTTCCCGTTCCCCCCGGATACACCAGAACGGTCTCAGGGGAGGAAAACTGCAAAATAAAATAAAATACAACAAAGAAGTAGCTCAATATAAAAGCTTAAAAACAAAAAGAACGTCAACAACTCAAAACTAGTTTGTTCTCTAAAAGCTGTCACACCCTGCTTCTGAAATATCTGACTATGGTTTCAACGGCCGGCAAAAAACAAGATGAAATAGTTAACTCTGAAATTCAGGCTGAGAGAATAAAAGAAGCAGGTGTGTGACCAGAACCACAACGGTTTGAATCCTTCTGGCACTTTAGATAAATGTGTGTTAGCGTGTTTGAACGTGAGGCAGGACGGTGCTAGAAAAGAGCAGAGCGCTCAGTGAACACACACACACACACCTTCTGTCAACACTCACTCAGTGCCAGTGGTGTATTTTGCTTTTCCACAGATTGCAGTCAACCCCCCACCCCCACCCCTCCAACCCCAAAGAGAGCAACCCTCCTCCCACGGGCTCCTGGTTGGCATGGATCTGCCCCCCAGATAGCTCCACACACACACACACACAACTTTCACATACATTATGTTCGAAGGCAGGGGGTTGTCGTGTTGTGGTGTGTGTGTGGTGGTGTTGTGTGTGTGTGTGTGTGTGTGATGGTGTGCGTGTGTGTGCATGTGTAATGAAGAAGAGGATTTACAGTGTTGGCACCCGGTCTAGTCAAATGGGTGGATCGCTGCCACTTTCCCCACCAGCTCCCGATAAATGTGCCATGTTTTGTTTTCCTTTTCATGAAAAGAATTAGCAGGATGAGAAAGTAGCAGGCAGCTCTCTCGGGGCGTCCATCTGTCCATTACTGAAATAAAAGCCGTCCGCTTAGAGAGAGAGGAGAGGTGGAGGGATGGAGGGGTTTTGTTGACTTAAAGGCGAGGATTTGACTTACTTTGAGTACATCGGGTAATCAAGGGACTAGACAGACGGATAGATAGATAGATGATCAGGAAGATAAGATAGAATAGATGATAGTAGATAGATAGATAGTAGATAGATAGATTAGGATAAGATAGATAGATAGATAGAAAATCAGGAATATCTGTTCACTTATAACACTCAAAATGGATAATCCCTCAGAGCACGATTTAAATGTGATGTATAGGAGACATTTGCTGTCTTTATAGTCTCTGCACACGCAGACGATTCCTCTCCAACTCATTCATTAATCAGCAGAAAACAAAAGGAAATAAACCTGAAACATGTGACAGCGACGAGCACTTGCAGGTGGCAAAGACGTGACCTATACAGCTGCAACAATTACTCGATTAATCAGTTGGTTGATCGAGAGCAAATGCCAATCATCTGTATTCCAGAGGTGAATATTTGCTGGTTGTCTTAGTCTTCTATACCTGTGGATTTGTGGCTTTTGGTCAGAGAGAACGAGACATTTTGAGGGGGAAATTCAGAATTCAGAAAATACTACATTTATAAATCAAGAATTAAAAAAGTTTTAAAAAGTTAGCAACACATAGAAAGATGGACGACAAGCTACAAATGTTGCACTTGATGCGAAAAAACTTCCGTCAGGCTACATGTCATTTTATATTATGACATCAATACATGCTATAGTAACGATTTTGGAAATTCTATTATTAAACTGAACTAAAAAATGTTGTAACTTCATCACATTGATGCTAAAATCCTGTAAATTCCATTATTGGGCGACCATTGGTGGTCTTGCTCACTGATTTCCAACATTGTGTCTTATTACAGATATTAAAAGGTTTAATCAGTAGAATTGAATCCAGTTGACAAATGTATATTGTCTCTTCATCATATTGCCTAGACCTGT